GTTATCTCCCGAGGGATCCCAGACGGTGAGAGGGCACAGGCCAGGCTGAGGCCCCCCCCCCAAGTGCACAAATTTTTGTGCACCGGGCCTCTAGTACTAGTATAATAAAACCCTAATATGCAAATCGACCAAATGGCGGAACGACTGGTTGCTATGATGTGCACTGACCACTAGGGGGCAGATGCTCAATGCAGGAGCTGCCCCCTAGTTGTCAGTGCGCTCCCACAGGGGGAACGCAGCAGCAGTGGCATGAGCTTCTCCCGCCTCCGCTGCAGACAGGCTGTAAGGAGCAAGGGGTCTCAGACTATGAGGGCCCAGGACTGCGAGAAAGATGTCTGACTGCCAGATTAGGCCCAGGGAATGGCAACCAGCAGGTGGACATCTCCTGAAGGGTCCCAGACTGCGAAAGGGCGCAGGCCGGGCTGAGGGACCACCCTCTTAAGTGTATGAATTTTGTGCACCAAGCCTCAAATTAGTATGTAATTTTCTCTCTTACTTGAGTATTATTTATTAAAATGATACTCATTCATGCTATGGTGACATTGAAGGTTGGTAAAGAAGTTTCTAAGGGTCATGGATCCTGCATTTATTTAATTTATGAATGGTTCATACCAGAAGTAAGTAATATTTCATCAATAATTTAGATTATCTTTTTGATTCATAAATATACTCAACTCACAGTTAAAAAATTTAAATAGTTAATAGTATAAAAAGAAAACAGATTTATTTGTCATTTAAACAGTACCTAAATACAGTAATCAAACATTTTATTAATCTTTAATCACAATAATTTAAAAATGTTTTACTTTAGCTCAGTATATTTCAAGAAATTTTTACTGATTTTGTTTCTTTAACTTTTATAGATATTCAATCTAATGACTCCCTTTAAATTTTATTTTATCAAGTAATATGGAAACTCAGAATATTCAGCGTAAACTTTGTTAAGGCCTGATAAATTCTCAGCAACAAAAATGATGCTTAAGTAGATAAATGTTTAAAACATAACGTGCTATACCTTTTTCATGTATAAAAACCATACCATCAACATTGTTAATAAGTCTTGAGATTTGAGGATCTCTTCATAATCCCCCAACCTCAACACCCACGTGAACACAGAGAGGTGTGCACATGTGCGCACACACACACGCACAATGTAATGTTGATGAGAAAATGCCCTACTCATTTAGATGACTGGTATGTTGACCAGGCATAGTCTGTGGCCATAAATGAGATGCTTTTAGTCTAACCAATGTTCAAAAACTTTGGGGAAAAACAGGTTTAAAATCTTTTTTTAAAAGTTTATTTTGTAATTACAGTTTGCATTCAATATTATTTTGTATTAGTTTCAAAATATTCACGGGGATGTAAAGAACTGCCCAGAAAATATAGGTTTAAAAATCTTGGATTCAGAATGTCACTCATCACTAAGACTTGCTCATGGTGAAATAGCACCAAACTCCGAGCCTGTAGGTCTGGTTTGTATAGAATTCTGTGGGCCTCTTATTAAATGACAAGACTGGACCATTGTACTTTGATTCCACCATTTAGCTAGATTCCTCTGCTTTTATGATATCTGTGTGTTTATAGTTAGCACATGATATGTTGCCTCTAGGTAGGTAATAGCTGCCATAAAGTTAAGAGTTTGTCAGTTGGGGTCCGACAAGTCTGGGTGTGGATTCCAGCTCTGCTCACTCATTACTGTGTAACTGAATTTAGGTGTTATTCTACCTCCCTCCGCCCCCTTCCATGTTTATAAAATGGGAAAATGGGATAGTGATCTCTATCTCTCAACTTCCCCGAGGATTTAATGAGAGAATATGTGAAAATGCTTAGCTTAGTAACCGAGAATGGCGCTTACTGTGAAATGGTAAACATGACTTAGGATCCACAGCCAGGATCCAAGGACATGAATTTTGCCTATTTTTTCCCATATGCGACGCATTGCTATCTTGAAATTAGGTGTAAAACAGACCTCAATCGAGTAAGAGAATACTTACAATTTTATTTTCCAATTTTAAAAATAAACATGTTTCAAGTTACATAAACGTTGAAGTTTAAAATAAGCACTGTACACATGCTGCAGGTGATGAAGATACGCACATCCGCGCCACCACGTTGCAGCGCATACGAACCGTGACGGATCAAGAGAGGCCGAATGA